TTCGGTAAATTAAAGGTGCATGAAGCTGGCGCATTTGATTAGAAAAGCTATGATTTTTGTTTATGATTTTGGCTTCTTCTTTGGTCTACCAAGTCATGCTGCCGATTAGGAGGCCATGATTATTTGTTCTAACTTTCGACTTAATCTTTGATATTGATGAAGAAGTCCTGTCTTGTAACTTTACTATCAAGAGATTAAGATTAGCGGTGTTGTTTTTACAGGAAAAGAGGGAAAGAAAAAGGTGAGAAGAAAAGTTAATTTGTAAAAGTGAAGAGGTCAAAAACTGAAATAGAAAGAAATATGGATGACACTGAGATTAAAAATTGCTAAGGTGGAGCACCAATGACTTGGTGCACTGCAGTACACAAGAATTTCTCCCCGGTCCTATCCTACTTGACTTTTTAACAACAGTGTGGACCTCACTCATTCGCTGTCATCAAACGCGAATTCCAAATTGCTTCATAATTGCCTCTACGTCTCTTATGAAAATTGATCTAGCCGTCAAAGAATCAACTCATAATCTTACTGATTGATAGGTTATATATAAGTATTTTTTAAGTACTTTTTGAATTTTAAAAGAATACCCCAGTCGCGATGAGCACTCAATTCAGCTAAATTAAAATATATATATATTCACATCACATCATTAAATAATTACCATCATTAAATAATTCCCTATAATTTGATTCCACGTGGGTCTGAACCTTTCAAGTCAAATGTGGGAGTGCTAAGATGAGATTCCATTCGATCTCTCCGTATCAGTAACCAATATAAAAACTCCATGTTATCTTGCCTTCAAAGGATTTACCTTCTTTTTGCACCTGTCCGTTCAAGAGGAAATATGCTCATGAGGGCCACTATCGATTCACCAGTCATCATCAATCAAGTAATTAATGATGGTTTTGGACCTTTAGTTGACTCCCTTTTTTGAGTCGTCAGGCAAGTTCGAGGCGCATCTCTTATATCTTCATCTTCATGGAGCAGTAATTTGGTGAGAGTAAAACAATAACTTGTAAGCAAATTGCTTGCCAAAATGCCGCATTACTTGTACTCCATTTTCTTCTTCTTCCGTTTGTTTTTTATTGTTCTGAGTGATGCTGAGACTAACAAGTCTCATCTCTATGATCAAGAACATGCAGTCCTTCTGAACGTGAAACAACACCTTCATCCATTCCTTGATCAGTGGGCCCCATCGGATTCCTCTCATTGTTCTTGGCTTGGCATCAACTGCACCCATGATTCTGTCACAAAATTAGATTTTGGTCACTTGAACATCACCAAAACGATACCTCCTTTCCTTTGTGACCTCAAAAATCTCACCTTTATTGATTTTCAGCTTAATTATTTCCATGGGGAGTTCCCAAAATTTCTCTACAATTGCTCCAAGCTTGAGTACCTTGACCTCTCCCAAAACAACCTTTCGGGTCCGATTCCAAATGACATTGACCAATTGACCAACCTGCGTTTCCTTAATCTTGGCGCCAACCTATTCTCCGACAACATTCCGACCAGCATCGGAAGGTTGAAGGAGCTGAGAAGTCTTCAACTTCACTGGTGTGAATTTAACGGTAGCATCCCTGATGAAATAGGCGACTTGTCCAATCTTGAATTGCTACACTTGTGGGGAAACGAGAATTTGATTGGGAGAATTCCAGAAAGTATTGGAGAACTGGTCAGTTTGGTGGAATTGGATTTATCGCAGAATGGCTTAAGTGGGCAAATCCCCAGTGGTTTGTTTGCTCTAAAGAATCTCAACATACTGTATCTTTGGAAAAACAGGCTATCTGGGGAAATACCTGCAAAAATTGAAGCTTTAAATCTGACTATACTCGATGTTTCACGCAATATGCTTACTGGAAAAATCCCAGATGGTTTAGGGAAGCTCAAAAAGCTAACAGGCTTGAGTTTGGATATGAATCAACTATCAGGAGAGATACCTGAAAGCCTTGCTCATCTTCCAGCTCTAGTAGACTTCATGGTTTTTCAAAACCATCTATCAGGCACTCTTCCTCCTTACTTCGGTCGTTATTCGCCACTCGAAACCTTTCAGGTTCCATCCAATAGATTGACAGGAAAATTGCCAGAGGATTTATGTTACAGTGGCAAGTTAGTTGGTGTAAGTGCTTATGACAACAATCTAAGTGGGGAGCTGTCAGAATCACTAGGGAGCTGCAATAGCCTACAATACTTGTTTCTTGATAATAATAATTTTTTCGGCAAAATCCCTGGCGGCCTTTGGAGATCACAAAATTTGATGACTTTAATGGTCAGCAACAACAAGTTCATCGGCGAGCTCCCTCAAAGATTGGGTTGGAATCTTTCAAGTTTGTCCATCAGCAACAATCAATTCTCTGGTAGAATTCCGACAGGAGTATCTACTTGGAAGAATCTGATCGAGTTTAAAGCTAGTAAGAATTTCTTCAATGGAAGTATTCCACAAGAGCTTACGACTCTTCCTAAGCTAACGAAATTGTTGCTTGATCAAAACCAGCTAACAGGACCACTTCCATCAGAAATCATATCTTGGAAATCTCTCAATGCTATAAATTTGAGTCACAATCAACTTTCTGGACAAATCCCATATTCTTTTGATGGTTTACCTGTCTTAGAACAATTAGATTTGTCAAATAATCAGCTCTCTGGTCATGTTCCACCTCAACTTGGCAAATTGTCAATGACCCTCACAAACTTCAATCTCTCCTCAAATTTTTTCATAGGGAAGATTCCTAGTGAATTTGAAAACCTTGTCTATTCTGATAGCTTTCTAAACAATTCTGGTCTCTGTGCTGATACCAAAAGGCTAAACCTTCCCTTGTGCAATTCTGGTTCTGACCTTCAAGGATCAAGCAACAGATCATCTGTGTCTCCTGCTTTGACCATAGGCCTAGTGATAGTGGCCTCTTTAGCAACCTTCTTGAGTTTACTCTTAATTATTAGAGTATACAAATCAAGAAAGCAGGCACTGGATACTTCATGGAAGTTGACTTCCTTTCACAGGTTTAGTTTCAGTGGAATGAACATTGTATCATCACTGACAGATGACAATATTATAGGCAGAGGTGGGTTTGGTACAGTATATCAAGTCCCTATAGATGGTTTAGGCTATGTTGCTGTGAAGAGGATAATGGACAATAAGAAGTGGGAGCAGAAACTTGAGGATGCATTCCTAGCAGAAGTAAGATTTTGAGCAACATTCGTCACAACAATATTGTGAAGCTGTTGTGTTGTATCTCAAGTGAGGATTCTTTAATGCTTGTGTATGAATATCTAGAAAACAATAGCCTTGACCGCTGGTTGAGCAAGAAGAATAGGTTAAACCGTAATGTTGTTCTTGATTGGCCAAAAAGATTGCAGATAGCCATAGGAGCTGCCCAAGGTCTGACCTATATGCACAATGATTGCTTCCCTCCGGTCATTCATCGTGATATTAAAACAAGTAACATCCTTTTGGATTCGGAATTCAATGCAAAAGTCGCAGACTTTGGTCTAGCAAGAATGTTGATCAAGCCAAGCGAACTCATCACCATGTCAGGTGTAGCTGGATCATTTGGCTATATTGCTCCAGGTGAATTACTTGCACCATATTTATATCTAATTCACCATATTTATATCTCATTTATGTCTTTATATGCATATACAGCTTCAATCTAACATGAATTTTCACTTTGAAATGCAGAATATATTCAAACAAGCAAAATCAATGAAATGATCGATGTGTATAGCTTTGGGGTGGTGTTGCTGGAACTAACAACTGGAAAAGAAGCAAATTACGGAGATGAACATTCATCTCTCGCAAATTGGGCATGTCGCCATGTGCAGTCGGGTGGAGATGTAGAAGAAGTTCTAGATGAAGAAATCAAGGAAGCATGCTATATGGATGAAATATGCCGTGTGTTCAAGCTTGGCATGAAGTGTACCGAAATACAACCAGCCAATAGGCCTTCCATGAAGGAGGTTCTACAAATATTGCTTCGTTGCAGGGACCCATTTGGTTATGGAGAAAGGAGTCCTGGAATCTTTGATGTTGTCCCTCTGCTAAAGAATTCCAAGAGGGAAAGTAGATTGGATATTGATGATGATTTATGGCATCATTAGCCTCATAGTTGAAGTAAATCCTTTCAGGTGATGCAAGAAGAAGGCAAACAATATTAGTTTCTACAAAGTCAGAATCGGGTGTTAGTGGAGGTAAACTAACAATTGCTTTAGATTCTTGTGACTTTGAGAGCATGGAGATTTTGGTTTCACTTCAACTTCCAGATAGCTCAAAAGTGAAAAATGATTTTTGTCCTTTGAGATAAGTGAACAAGTTCATTATGTAACTTCAAGTTGTATAATAATGTCACTATATGTGAAATAAAGAGATGTTCACACATGATCACCACCATGTAATATATGAAAGAATTTTAGTATACCACCATCTGTTCTATCTCAGGTAATTATCCAGAAGAATAATCTGCAATCCCATAGTTGATATCAAGTTCATTCCACTATATTGCTCCAGTTAAACCTACCCATTTAAATTTCTGACCAACATATATAAGTTACATTCTAAGGGGAATTTTCAGCTTCAGATGCAGAGTATATTCAAACAAGAAAAATCAATGAATATTTAAGTATATAACTTTTGGGTTGTTCTATTGGAACTGACAACTGGAAATGAAGCTAATCATGGAGGTGAACACTAATCTCTTGCCCCACTGGGCAAGGCGACAAATGCATGGAGACGTAGAAGTACTAGATGAAGAAATTAAGGAAGCATGCTACGCAGATGAAATGTTTCCTGTCTCCAAACTTCGGTTGATATGTATAGCGACACAGGCAGCTAGTAGGCCTTCCATGAAGGTGACTTTGCCGACACTGCTTCGCTGCAGAGAACCATTTTAGTTATGTAGAAAAGAAAATCAGAATCTTTGATGCTGTTACTCTCCTAAGAAGACTTCAAAGAGGGAGAGAAGATTGGATATTGGCAGCATCATTTTAATTATAACAACAACAACAACAACAATAATGCTGATAATGATGATGATAGTAATAGCCCTGTTTGTACATGAAAGTCCTGATTCACTCCAGCTGCTATCAGGAACTACCCAATGCATAGTTCACATCTCTCGCTTTATTCTTGAACATAATGAGGGGGAATCAATGCCCTAACCACCTGCAAAAGAGCAGCATCAATGGCTACAGAATAAAACCAGCGAGCACCAAAGAATGCCCCAATCTGGAGTATAGACTTACTGGTTCAATGGCACACAAAGTGAAACTTCTGCACTTCTTCTGCGTGGGATGAACCTTATTTTCAAAAGTCATCCACTCCCAAATACTGAGAGTGAGATGCTGCTAGAAGGGCTGCTCCAATGCCCGAGCCATCATTCGAGTGCTCAATGACAATGGTGTCGGCTGCCTCATCTCCCAATAATTCCTTGAGAGTATTCTCCAAGCTGGTGCAAAATTTCGTGTAGTGTTCAAATAATCCTCCATCCATTGCTATCACTGATTTTTGCTTCTCTCCCGCCTTAACTGTGTCCCTTCCTGTTTTCTTGAGAATGCCTAAAATTCCGGAGGCAGCTAAGCGGGCCCCACGAGTAGCAATGATGTCACAGAGCTCAACAACAATCTTCCTTTTTTTCAGAGATGTATCAGAGATCTGAGAAAGGGAAATACATAGTGAAAACTACTCCACTGCTATGAGGCCAATTCTTTTTTGTCAATAACATAATACGCTTGCTTTTGTTTCAGACAGGCAGATCAAAGACAGTAAATCCCATTAGTTTAGTTCATAATTGACCTCCTGCCTTTTGCATCCAATTCAAGAAAAAGAATTAACAGGATTAGAAAGGAAGATCAGACAACCATACATATTCATGTGTATTCAACATGAATAAAGCGTACGTACCTCTAATATATCCCTCAATTTGCTTCCAACCACTTTTAGATCTGGAGATGTGTCATGGTGCATGGCAGACATGTCGGGTGTCCTATAAATCTCATTAACAAGGCAAAATAAGGATTTTGGAAGTTCTAGCATGCTACAATAAATGCATTACTGTGTAAATTTAATTCAAAAAGGATATCATTAGTAACATAGTGAAAATATGACCACCCACAGGTTCGATAATGTTATAAGCAAACTCGAATGCAGTTAACTTCTCTTGCAATCATGCTGACTTACCTCCACCAATCTTTCAATTTTTTTTTTGTTTATGATCAATTTTTAGGCAAGGGGTTAGGTTCACCCACAAGCCACGGGCAAGCCAAGGTCAGGGTAACTAGCCAGTCATAGACAACCCAATCATCTGTCAGTCACACACTATCCATTTCGGCCATCGGTGTGCCTAGGTCATTGGCTAGAATACAGCATTAACCACGTGGGAATCAACTCAAATTACATGCTTTATCCGGTTGTGAATCTACCTCCACAAATGCCACGACAATCTCAGGAATCGAATTCCCTACCTTTGGTGAGATTATCCCACCCTTTGACGGCTAAATCCATGGTACGATGGGTCTAATCCCTCAAATTTTAACTACAGGCTTAATTGTCCAAAATATTGAAAAATGAAATGTTTCTTGTCTAATTTCCTCCTGACCTTTTCTATCTGTCTGTGGACCATTTGATCAAGCCAACGGTGCAGATAAACCAAAGTCACGAGAAGCAAATGGGCAGCCTCAAATCAAGGCACTCAATCTCAGTACGGAAGGCTCCAGTGACAAAGTCCTGGTCATCACTCGAAGCTTTGGCACTGACCAATCCACTTGGCAGGGAATTCCCTTATTAAATAATTATAAGGAATTTCTTTCATGCAAAGTGACAGCAAGGAAGGAAAGCAAGTGACTATTACGCTAGCAAGACATGCCCAGATGAGGATATGATCATAAAAGGGCAAAATACCTCTGAATTTGTGGGATTCTAGAATTGAGCCGAGCCTGTATAAAGATCAAGTACTAACCATCATGATCCCTCCAGCATATTTACTGGCGACAGACTGTTACTTTTGTCTAAAGGAGAGGGAGCACAAATGCTCTGAGTCATCCAACAAGGCTTACAGGAAAAGACTTGAAGAGGAGGGTCATCAGTCCCAGACCCCGTGAGTATAATTGCAAACAGCAATGGTTACCAGAAAGATCATGACAGTTTAATGCGATCTCCTTCTATTATATAGTTCCTTCCCCCTACGCTACTGCTATTGATAACCGTGCCTCCTTGATGCTTTTCTTTTCTTTTCTTTTCTTTTCTTAATGGATGAGTTAGCATAGAAAAATGAAAGAAGGCAGTAGAGAAAATCAAGAAAAAAATTACTAATGGGAATCTTTTTTCTAGATATTGATCTGGACCATCACTTGTTCACAAGGTCCACATATAGTGATAGCAAGCGGACACATGAGAAGACCGGAAAGGATCCATTTCCCGAAATAACACAAGGCTCTCTTTAGCAGAGAATAAATTGGAGGGAGTGACGGCAAAATATTTGAGAATGCGAAGAAACCACAAACTTTTTTTATCAAGATAATAGGATGGCATTATATTTTCTCTTTAGACAATACTTACATCAAGTTCCCTCATATCTTTTATGTTAAAATCTCTAATTACACCACGTGTCTATTTTTGAAATATTAGCATTTAATAGCGTTTAATTATGAGTAAAACATTGACTACTCCTCTGTTTTATATAAATTACAAAACCTCCCTTCTATTTGAAAATGTATATAGACCTTCCTTGAAATTAAAATTTATATTATACAAACCTCCATTATATTTGAGATTCTATTCTATCTAATCTAACCATTAATTTCCCATTAAATTTGACTCTAAACTTATATTTTGACCAAAATATCCCTCCTTAACATAAACATCATTTAAACATTTATATATGTCAAAAAAAAATTTTGATAAAACAAAAAAAATAATTATAATACATGTATTTTCAAACTTCTTCATATGTTATAAAATTTATAAATTTTGATTACATTATAAAATTATATAATTTTAATTCCTCACGACATATTGAAACTCATTTATTTAGGTTTCTTTTAAATGGTTAGAAAATATTTTAAATGCATATTTGTTCATCATATACTATAAATTATGTGGGTTGGCGCATTATATAAATTATTTCAATTTAAAATTTAAAATTTTTAAACAAAAATTCTGCAGCACACATTTTAAACTTATTTAATCGGTTATATATTATTTAAAGAATCAATCAAATTTCAATTCAATTTTTTTATGTCCCAATATGATAAAAAACATTAGACAAATAACTATTTATAAAAATAAAAAATAAGATTAAGGCCAAGGAAAAATTTTTAAATTTTTCAAAATAGTATTAGCCAATTTTAGGAATTTAGTATTATGAAAAACATAGTTCAACATAAATTTTAATTAAAAAAAATATTTTTAGAATATTCTCAACAGAGTTAACAATTGGACTTAAGTGTATGTTTCCAAAATAAAGAGGAGGGACTGCGTAATTAAGACAAAATGTAAGGGAGGTTAGAGTATTTTACTCTTTAATTATAAATCACATGAAATAAAAAAAGACACATAGCCATGTATATTGGGAGAACTTGACATAATAAATATAAAGAGCTTGACCTAAGCTTGTCCCCTTCTTTTGCCCAACGCATCAACAATAGAGTGGTCGCTATATGTATCTCACCCTTGACAACTTAATCTGTTCTCAAAACATGAATGCAAGTGGGATGTCAAAAAAACCAACCAAAAGTAGACTTTTGCCTGTTAACCTATATTTGTCTTAATTAATGCCAACAGAAATACATGTTTTTATTTCCTTTATTTATGGATGAAAAGGATTACAGTTATTATCAGGATAACACTTTATCATTCCTAGATGATTTTACCCGACGAACAAGAGAGATAGAAAATAATTTTCATTCATTCAATTTCCAAACTTTTGTCCAGTATAAACCAGAGAAATTAAAATCTTCGCATCTGCCAGTAGTTTGGCCACCAGTTAAAGCAGCATCAGGATTTAAGTCAAGCATCCCATATAAATCAGATATAAGCAGACAAAAAAGGCGGGTTTACACCAGTTGAAATAAAAACAACCATACAAAGATAATGCATGAGACAAACAAGAATGCATCCCAACAATTCAACATCACTATACCTTCAGCAATAAAAGAGCAGGTTATAGTATTTCAACCATTGCTAGTTAGGTAGATATGCAAGAAAATACCTCCAACAAAAAGAATAAGGTGAGCAATATGAACATTTCATATTTATAATTCCTACGGACCTTGAGGAAAAAAGTTAAAGTTTGATTGGATGAAAGATCAAACCTGAGTACGAAAGGAATTTTTAGCTTGGGGGGAACGGACTCTCCAAAGAAGTCAGCTTCTTCAGCCAACTTCAGTAAAACTCTCCTCACAATTTCCCCCAAATACATACCAGAAATCAGCTTCTCAAAAATCTGCAGATAGGGTAAGTGCGTTACACATGCACATTGGTCGTTTTGAACTAATGATCGATGACTGTTACCTGATCTCCAGGGTTTAAGCTATCAGAATCTAAAGCTTGATCATATTCTGATATAGGAAGATGTGAGGATCTGAAATTACCCCACTCCATATTTATAACCTATAGCATGAAATAGAAATAAATATGATATGACAGCAATCAATCATTACCAACCTTTTCTTCCATGATGAAGACAAAACTATCACAAACACATTCCAATAACAGTAATCAAAGTGCAAAATCCTACTTACCATCTCTCCTGATTTGGGTAGAAGACCCGGCCATTTTGGAATTGCGTGAGCACGCTCGACATATGCTGCATTGGTGCCGGTACCTAGAATGACAGCAGCAATGACATCCTTGTTGTAGAACCTGCCCCCAGCTAATGTTCCGACAGTGTCATTAACCTAAATTACATTACCATGTCAGTTTGTTTCCAGTTTAAGACATTAAATCACAAAGCATAAAATAATTAAAACCATAGAACGTCATAACTCCAATTTCCTGACAGATAATTTATAAATCATCGTCTCTTTTTTATTTTAATAACTAAATCATCAGCTTTCTCAATGCTTATGACAGGAGGGAAATGAAAAATAAGGTTTTAAAAGAGGCAAGTGAGACTCACAAGAGCTGAGACACGCATATTAAGATTAATCTTTTCAAAAGACTTGGTCAGTTCTCCCACCACATCTTCTCCAACCTATTACAACCAAGCAGAAGCCATAAAGGAAGAATTGTTATGTTACCATGGTCAAAAAAATGAACAGCTGAAATATGAAGAAAAAAATAGTAGGAAAATTATCTCTACAAAAGGAGTTCAAAATTTGCATATGTGAGTCATGATGTAATTAGCATGGTGATTTGTGAAATCAATGACAGAAAGAGAGAAAACCCTTTCATGTCTCTGGACCATGCACAATAATCATAATCAATATAAATGCATATAAAGTACAAACATAAAAGCGACTTAAAAAAAAAATGGAATACAACTCAGGGAAGGTAACAAGAATCACCGCATCTACAATATTAAAACCCTTGGTCCACCTAATTAGAGTCCCAAATGCAATTGATGTTTGCCTCACAGGAAATGAGAAGGTAAAACCCAACTCTCTTTGCTTGCCAGGGGGAGGATGAAAGTCTTCAGGTTCAGAACCAACAAATTTTGCGAGAGCTTCTGCTATAAAATCAAATAATTCCTGAAACGTCGTGAGTTAGAATAATTAGATCTGAGAGGCATTTCTGGAGGGAGGCCTATACAATTAGAGATTTCACAAAAGACTTACAGCAGAAGAACCAGTCATCAAATGACGAGGAATCGAAACTTCTTCAAATTCTTGGCTGACAACACCTTTTCCTTTTCCACCCAACTGTACGCGAAGAACACGGAAGTTTGTACCACCAAGGTCCAATGCATAATAAATTCCTTTCTCGTCCCTGGAAACAATGGTACAAAGTGAGCAGTCCCATAAAGGAAGTCATCTCTTAAAAATTCAAGTGTTGAAAAAACTTATACTCGTCCCAACAAGTCGAAACAAAGTAATTCATATCATTAAACCTCTCAATTGCCGGATGTTGTCTTCAGATTATTCGCAACCTACTATCAAGTGCAGTTTAGAAGTAAATCCCCATAGTAAGATAAATTTATATATTATCATGACTGATGAATCAGTTTATATATTTGACAACAACTTCATAAATTTTTTGTTAGAACTGAAGTTTCAGAATCACTCTCAATTAATGGCTTATCAGAAGAATTGGTCTTGGACAGAACACAATAATGTCAGACAATGCATGTAGCCGATCTCACCTAGTAAGATAAAGCATATGTTATTGTTGTTGTTGTAAAGTTTCAGAATAGGCCAGAAGGTTTCTTTGAGGGGGAAAAAAAAAAAAAAAAACTGCTAGGCTAGTTTAAGTGAATTGTTGGATGAAACTTCCCATCAGCACCGATAATTTGACAGATATTAAAAAAGTTGAAGTTATGTTAAATTCATGTCCATGTCAAAAAAAAAAAAAGAGAGAGAGAGATATAATTCTTAAATCCGAATCGGTCAGCCTTTACTTTGTCCCCCCCCCCCAAAAATTAACGAGCATTCTCTACTCGATCCATTGTGATCGTTGCAAGCATTCAAACCATGAAAAGCCACAAAGAAAATAAATATACTCGAAAATCATCAAAGACAGCACAAATTTACGAACCCAGTTGGGAGATTATCGACATAGCTGATCAACATCTGAAGCTTGCTCCCGCCTTCAGATGCAAGACCAGCATGCATCTCAACGTCCATGGCGTCAGCTACTAATCTAAGCTTGCCAATAGGGGTCTCACACTTCTCCTGAAACTCCTCCACAATAGCTCTAACACGGGCCCACCTCCGGGAGCTGATCATACGGTGGCGCACCACCAGTGCCGCGGCTGCACATACGGCGGCGGCGCAAGCCACTGTAACTCCCACCGCTAACTTCCCCATCAGCTTTCCTCACTAACAAATACAACCACGGTCCAGGCGTAGCCACTCACTCGATGAACCAATGAAAAACCTCGGAAAGCCTCAAACTTTTTCCTTCAAAGATGAAAATCTCAGTTGGTTAAATCTAAACTTTAATGGGAAAAGCTCTTTTTGGCAGCTGAAAGATGGGTTATTCATAAAATTGCATTGATGCCAGTTAGGAGAATGACAGAAATGGTAAGAAAGGGATCGCCTACCGGGGTGTTACTCCATAATCAGAGACCACTTGACCCGAAAAATATTCGAGAAAGCCATATAATCGGAGGTTAACTTTCGCAGTGGGAAAAATAAAATATCATTATCCAGGTACAGGAGATGTGTCCCCATCTGATCAACACTTCAGGATATTAATGTTGTTTCCGTTCTGCGGCAACTGAATAAATTGTAAAGCAATTTTTTTATTTCAGGTAAAAAAAAAAAGCAACTTTTTAATTTCATCCTCTTCACAATAAAAAGTCAAAGTGTAAATTTAGGGGGTGTTAGAATAGAAACCAAACTATAGTTTCAAAAATATTTTTACGATTTACGAAGTAAATATGTGGAGGAATTTGCTTCGTTTTGTCAAAAAGTGCTTTTGAGAAGCACTTTTGAGGGCTGCCAAACACCCCTTTAATGATTAAAGTTCAACTGATATCTTCAACCAGCTTAGAAAATAGTTCAGAATATTCAATAAAAAATAAAATATTTTACAATGCTGAATATATTTAGAAAAATAATTCAAGATGTTGATAAACTTTAACTTTAGATTATCACTAACTGGCTCAAATAATGAGTATAAGATAAAATGGGCATATAAGCCAAAAGTTTAAATCCAAATTACATTTTTGAAAAATGCCACTATAGTCAGATATTGATAACTCGCTGCGGATAATGAGAGATTCATAGTAAGTCATGCCATTCATTCACAGACCATAATTAATGCGGCTCGTTATTTTATTTTTTTTTAATTTCAGGGAAATATACATAGCAATATATTTAATTTTCATATAATTACATAACTTTTTTTAAACTGCTAAGTTCATGTTTGTTTACATATAAATTTAGGGATTATGTATCCATATATATAACTACAAAAACGTTAACAAATCAATTTTTGTAAGTCATTTATATGTGATGTGAAAACTCTTTTTTCATAAGCATAATGTGGAAACTCTAATAACATTAAAATATCATATTTCTTAATTTTTGTCCGAACCATATGACCTGCATTGGTTAAATAAAAATTATCATTAAAAATGGCAAAAAATTATATGCATGGATGATTTTTTTTCAAAAAAATAAACTCAAGTGGAATAAATTCTTCATTTTCATAAATTAATTTTTTTTTTCCCGTTGAAAGAGGCAAGCCACAAGAAATAGCATAATTAATAACTACTCCACAGAATTATACCAACAAAAAAGAAAAAGAACTACTTCACAGAAACTTATCCAGACTTTTTTTCTGGTCCAAGAAACTTATCTCAGGCTTAAAATATCTAAACACGTCCAAATTAGAGGCGCATTCATCAGAAGATGTGGTTGTTTTACTTCGACATTCAAAAATTAATTTTTCTACAAAATAATACAATGTTGTCTTGGAAATAAAATATTATTGGCAAAAAAAGAAAAAGATCACAATGCTACATGAGAAAAATAAAAAATAAACCCAATGCATTATATTAATGGATCTCTTTTCTTTTTCCTCTGCCAGAATCAGTTTATCTCCGATTTTATTTTGGAAAAATTGCAATAAAGTCATAAAAAAATATAATTATTAAAAAATTCTAATGACAATTATTTAATTAAGCTGCCTGTAATGACAAAATTTAATGTAAGAAATAATAACTTCTAACTTATCAATAAGACTTTTTTTTTTTTACACCTCATTATAATTCTCAAATTCATTTTTGGCCCAAGAATGGATATCAAATTTCATACATCAATATTATAGTTATTTATTTATATGTCATTAATAATATAAAATTTATACTTAAGTTAGACACATAGAATAACTTTGGATGGTGTATCCTAGCAATCCAACATACAACATCAGGAAAGACATATTCGATTTTGTTTTAAATAACTTTTTTAGCCAAATGGATATATGTCTGCAGATTTCATACCCTAATTACTTTATGTCATGAATAATAATATAAAATTTAAATTTAAATTCGATGCAAAGAATAACTTTATAAAGGGTATACCTAACACAAAATATCAGGAAAGGCATATTCGATTTTAGTTTAATAAAAAAAAAGTCTCTACATTGCGTAAATATCAAAATTTATACATGGAGACTGATTTAAAAATTTACTAAAAAAAATAAAGAGTAATTCTTTTTTATACATAAAATGAAGCATACTTCCACTTCACCAACATTATTATGCTATCATTTTATATCAATTAATTAACCATCTATTTTATTCTCAAAATCCATTTCAACAACAAAAATTCACCACCCTAACTAAGATATCAATGTGGGTGTGCGTGAGGGAGAGGAGAGAGGGTGTGTGTCAAGAGAACGTGATATTTTGGGACTTTTTTAAAAGAATAATGGCTTCAAAATTAAAAGGGAGAATTAGAAGAGAGGACCTTACAGAAAACTATTTAGTAAAAAAGATCATAAAAATTAGAATTATTTAAAAGGACCAAATGTTAAAATATAAATTTTAAAATACCAAATTGACCCAATCCACTTTGTTCCCTCTGCCTCTGCTCTTGTTTTCATTTAAGGGGGGGAAATCCTAAATGGAGCAAGATTTATAAAATGTTAGTTTAAGGATTTGAGGCAATGTTAGTTTAATTCTCATAAAATGTTAACTTCCACACCACTTCCATTTGATTTAAGGGTTAATTTTGGTGGTTGTTTTTTTGTCTCATGTCGAAGGAGATACTGTCTGTGATTTGAGGAGCTTTGTTGGGAGGGACCAAGTATTTAACACTAACGATTAACGCTGTTCTCAAACAAATTATGGAGTTTTTGTGGGTAAATGAATTGAACTATATCATGTTTGATTTTGCAGGTTGAGAAGAATCATTTCTTGGTAGCCAGTTTTGGGGCAGGTCGGAATAGGCACCTAATATAAAAATATGGTTGTAGACTTACCAACTAATCATAAATGAATCAAATAATCTACATGGAGTGAGATATCATGTGAGAGAATATAAGAAGACTAGTTATGGGCAATTTAGTCTCTTTAAAATTATATCTTAATATGTGATCTTTTAAAATAATTATAATTTTTATGACCCTCCGCACCAAATATTTTTGGAAAATTTAGGGAGAGGGACCTAGTGGCGACAATAATTATGGGGGAAGATCTTAAAAACTGTATTTATTTGGGAGGACCAAATACTAGAATATAAATTTAAAATTACCAATTTTCCCTTAGCAAAATCCCATATATTATCTATAACCATATCCTATAATTTTTTTAACAAAATAATTAAATTTTATTCAAATTAATTCAAACTAATTGGAATTACAAAGTTACAAAACAATTCTAAATAATTAAATTCAATTCAATTAGTAAGTAATACTAATTAATTTATTCTTCCATTAGTTTTTTAAAAAAATGAAACTCCTATTTTAAGCTTCCTAAATAATGAGCTGATCAAAATTATATAGCTGAATTAAAAATTAAAAATATATATAACTTATCCATAATTAATAAGAACAAAAAATATCATGTACGTTTAAACTTGAATTTTCTTACTCAAACTAGTATAACTACTTTTATTATGACAAATATTTATTAATATGAATTTCTTATGTCATTTTGTATTTTAAATTTTAAATTTTATTAAGTAAGAGGATTCAACTTATTCAAATAAAATAGTAGTACAAAATGGATAAGTAAAAATGTGGAACAACTTTTTTTTTTTTTGGTGAATGGTAGAACTTTACTACCCTGCTCATTTTTCAGAAAGCCCACAAAAAATTATTAATTAAAAATAATGGAAAAATAAATTAGTTAATGTTTGCTATTAATTTAATTAATTAGAATCAATGTCTGACTTTAAAATTTAAATTAGTTTGAATTAATTCAAATAAATTGTAATTATTCTACTAAATGATATGAAAATTATAGGAAGTGGTGAGAGAATATAGGGGTTGTGGTGTGAATAGGGGTGATTTTAATCTTTTTAAGTTTATATTTTAATATTTGGTCTTTTTAAATAATTAAAGTTTTTAAGATCCTTTCTAATAAATATCTTTTTCTCCTGATCCTTCTCTCTAATTTTCCCAATATTTTTTTCTATAGATCCTTTGTTCTAGTTCTCCCAAATTAAAAATATAAGAGGGTCTCTGCTTTTACTAACCCGAAAAATAAATCGTTATGTTCCTACTTCCTAATAACTAGTAAGGGCTCTTGAAGGGAATATCTTGGAGAAGGAATCTGCCAAACCACTAATAAGCTGAATTAGTTATAGTTTGCTATTTCCAAATTTTGAAATTCTTAAGTACTACTCCCACTGGTCATATTTATAAGCTTCCAATTTGGAAAAGAATATAGTCTATTTATAAATTTTAATTTGATTTTGTCTTAATGTTTAATACATTTTTTCTATTTTATCCTTAATTATTTATTCACCCTCCTTTATTGTACTCTCTCCTATTACATTTTTTCACATATTCTTTTTTTATCTTTTGTCTTATTTATTATAAGGACATATTTGAAAACAAAACTATATTTCTAACTAATTTATTGTTTTTAACTAATTTTAACTAACAGTTTGATTCGTTATCTATGAATTAATTATTTGAGACTCATAATAAGGAGGGAGTATTATCTTCTTAAAAAAAATTTAATGTGTCATCTTATCTAAAATTTACATTAAGTTAAATTATTTTCAAATCATGAATAATAGTAGTATTACTTATTTTTAAAGCACAAAAGGCTCCAATATGATTCATTGAAAAATAAACAACACTCAAGGATCTCAAAATTTAGACATCCTTTTGCAAAAAATAAGATTTTTTTTAAAAAGTAACATTATGTATTATTTATAAATAATATGAATTGCTATTAATTTTAAACATTATACATAAATAGAAATATGACTAATTTTAGATTTGAGCTTGAAAGCATGCACGATCATAGCTTACTTTGGCTGAAGCAGATGCTCTTTTAAAAAAATATCTATGCATCAAGATTGTTAAACTCACAAGTAGAGGACAATGATATAAACTCATTGTAAATTTTTCTT